TTACATCTTACCTTTATGGCCATCGAGGTACTCACCTCTAATACAAACAACCATCCAATGCTTAATCTTAATCAGTTAAACAGTCCATCTTCGTTGCGGAGACGTAGCCTGAAAATGTAATTTTCATCCTTTTCATGATATTGAGTAATTGCTTGCATTGTTAGTAACATATTAACTAAGTACAAGGCAAATCAGCCCAGAAGTCTGTATTTCAATTATTATTGATTTGTTCACGATTATTGTGCCTCAGTATCATTATACCAATCATAGTTGCATATCATTCTGCCGCATTAATTATATGATACCTTTTTTCATGCAGTTACTTTTAATAATATGCCGATCATAATTCTCAGTGATGCGTAAAGCATCATAATTTAAGCAAAATCTCTTTTTCGCGAATAAGATTATTTTAGAAGAGTTTACTTTTTAATCATTAGTTAATCTTGCAAAAAAGGTAATTTACAGAATGCTTGAAAGCTGTAGACAAAACAAAAAATAATTCTCTGAATTGGAAATCAAATGAAACAGAAGAACGCAAAAATACATACCCTCTTTTTTTTTTTTTTTTTTCATTCTTCTTTTGCCCCGTCAATTTGCTAGATCAAAGAATGAAGTATGTTACTACTTGTAAATTAACAATCATAAGAATGTTTAAATGGAGATAACATGTCAAAGGAGATAACATGCCTATTATATTCTGAAGCACATTTAGGTATATGATGGTCGAAAATAAATAGCTTTTATGGAAAGGAGGAAGGAATCGCATTTAATATCCCATTCAATTCTGACTGACGTTAGTTTTCAAAGTAAAGTCATTCTATGACATTATATTGATCGAGATCTAAACGGTTTTAAATTTAAGAAAAGTTTCAAATCTATGGAAAAACATCTTAGTTTTACATATAAATAAATTAACCAAATCTATAAAATTAGTGTTCAACATGTGCTCTTAAATTTTAACAAAAGAAAAGAAAGTATCAGTTCAAGCTAAAAAGAAATAACAAAAATCAAAACATTTATTTTTTTTTTTTTTTTGTAAATTTGCTTTTTTGTCAATTTGCATTGCATTTCTCTGAAATAGTTTTTCTCCTGTGTCTTCCATTAATTTGTTTATTTAAATGTAAACTTTAAGTTTTCCTTAATTGAATAACTTTGTTGCAAATATTACATTTCCCATTATATTTTTAAAATTGTTTTCGTTTACTTTTTTTGATATTTTATATTGCCTTACTTCAACGAATGTTAGTAATTAGTTTATAAGCTTTACCACTTTTATATTTTCAGCTACATAATATTAGCATGATTAAAGAGCTATGAAGGTTGTTAATTATATACTACTGACACAGTTATATATGAAATAAACTCATACATAAAAGAACTGTGTAACCATATAGTACAGAGTATTGCATAACTCTGTGTGATGTTATATATGTTACCGGCAATATTTGAAACGCAGAGATTCTATAGAATAACTAGGAATTTTATAGAATGCCTAGAGATTTTAGGCAATGTATGAAAATAGAGAATTATTATATACGTTACCTAGGCATTCTATATAATGACAAAGGCTCTTTAGGCAAGTATGAAAAAAAGGTGACGATAAGACTGTAATTTAAAAGACGTTCATTCTTCAAAAATAGAAAGGTTATTTTGAAAAAATAATGAAAGACTGATATTGTCAAACTTTTATTCAAAATGCGTAAAACAAATTAGTGAGAAGATCTTGGTACACCATAACAAATTTGTGTTCTGTATCTGGCTAAGACTGGAAATCAATAAGATCTACCTGACAAATGGAAATTAAATTCAGATGTTTCAAACATTGTGTCACGTTCTCCGTGTTCTGTAGCCAAATGAGTTTCATGAAGTACGTGAAATACCTGTGTGAAGTACATGAAATGTCCATGACGTAATACTGTATTGTACTGATACCTTCTTTTACAGGATAAATGAGTTTTCTTTTGTTATCCACATCATAGCGATTCAGCAATCAGTAATCCCGGTCATTTTGGCTATTTTACACCATTTATTAACTTTTGGTAAGTAGTTTCGGCAGTTCGAAATGAATCTGAGATTACTTCATATTTTGCCGATTTGTCATTTGACATTCTGTAGAATACCTAGGCAATGTGTGAAAAGTTTAATCGTTTCATACATTGGGGAGGGGATGCCATCCAGTTTTCAGAATCCTCTAAAATGCCTTAATTAGAATGCCGGATTTTATACTTTGCCGGTAACATAATATAAGAAATAGTAGTTCTCGCTTTATTCCGCTTTGTTTCCGCTTTATTCCTTATTTCATTTTACTTTATTCTTTTAATTTTTCACTGATATACACTCGATCGGCAAACGCAGAGTCTATTTACAGGAAAGAACTATGCATTATGCATTTTAAGTATCTGTGCAGCCTCAAGCTGTTAATGTTGAAAATGAAGCAAAACAGCAAACTGAGGTGCAAAAGTTAGGATATTTCTTTAATTAAAGTTACAATACACATAATTTACGCATAATATTTATAGCGAAGATAAAATTTATGTAAAATATAGGTCTTAATTATGCATATATTTTCTTTAGTACTGAAGTACCGGAAGAGAACAGGGAGAAAAATACAATCTTTTGATGATTTGGGCTGATGTCTTTGGTGGTGAACTGTTGATATATTAGTTTATCCTTCAATGTTATTGCCATTCAGCATAACTACTTCCTAACATTCCATCTTTGCGTCTTTTGGTCTTTTGCCATCTAATTTGATCACACACCAAAAATTCACAAAAAACTGGAATTATCAACAAGCTTTTCGGAACTGGAATATCTTCTAGCTTCGGAATGATTTATACATTTTGAAAGATTCGTGTCATAGAAATAATTCATGTCTGCTTTCAGCCTTTATGTAACATTTATTTTTTGTAACAAGTGTTAAACAACTTAAAATTATCTAATCAAACTGATTAAAACATATTTTTTGCCATTTTCTTCAAACTGTTTTAACATTAAAGGAAATGTTTTCAAAGCTCTTTTTTCAGGTGCAGCTTCTATCTTTGTAGTGTATATTAAGTGCAAACGTTGAGCAATTACATGTCTGCTGGGCTTAATTTATCAGATTCTTTAGATACTCCTCGTGTTAATGATTGCTTACTAGTTATTTAGATATGTTTACACGAAAGCAAACTGGTAACATACTGTAATGTGTGGCTGAATAAAACTGCAATTACTGAAAGGAAAGAAATTGCATTTTAATTCATTTCTGTAATGTATGTAAATGTTTTGTTAATTTTCGCTTTATCTTATCTGTGCTACTCATTCAATTCGAAACATTTTGATATACGAAATATGCGTCGTTTAATCGCGTGAACATGACTGCAATACGAGTGAGACGAAAATAAAACGTATAATAAAATAAGACGAAATTCAGATATCCTTACAAACTGGTCGCATTATTCAAAGGTTTCTTTTCTATTTATACCAATGGGGGAAAATCATCTTTTTTTTTATCTTGCTGCCTTTATTGCTTGCCTTTATTGACAAAAACATATAGTTTTTGTGTGTAAAGAATCAAACCCTTAAAGAAATAGATACATGCAAATTAAGACCAATCCTACATTTATTCAATTATTATGTACATTTTTGCTCCTAGAATAGATTCGGTTGTAGCCTCGAGAAACTGCTATTTTTATTTTTTTATTTAATTATTTTTTATGATGTGTTTTTAGATGAAGAAATTAGGTAAGGTAGCCTCGAGAAACTGCTATTTTTATTTTTTTATTTAATTATTTTTTATGATGTGTTTTTAGATGAAGAAATTCAAATGTGATTTTTTTCAACAGTGTCCGTGTGTGAAAGCTGTTTTTGGCTAATAGGTTTAAGTTAAAAAATTCTGTAAATGTAGATTTTAATATTAACATCTTATTGAAAAGCTAAAGTTAATATTACCCTCAAGAATAGTTTCTGCACATTTAAAGGCGAAATAATTATGTCATCTTTATGCAAAATTTTCGTTCTAAATGCGATTGCATTTAGAACGAAATTGCAATTAATTTGCTCATATATATTCCTTCATACAAAAATATAATACGATTGTAAATTTAAACACCATCCGTATACCTGCGAGAATGTACTACATTGCGCATTATTTTGCCAGTAGAACGCTACATTTTCTGCCACAATAGCATTTTCACTATTATAAATATTTCAATTTCAGTTCATATAATGTGCGATGTTATTAGTCATATGTGCGATATTATTAGTCAAAAATAATACTAAATGTCATCCCCATGGCAGCATAATTTAAGTGAATTAAGTGACATTACAGGCATATCTTAATGAACTAAAATCAGCATTAAGCTCAGAACTTATACTGCTACCATATATGCATATTTAAGAATTTCTATGTTGTTAGTGTACTTTCCTAAATTCTTATTAAAAGTTTTGCAGGTACTAATACTTGGCATTTTAGTTTACAAAAGCAGTTCAACATTTCTAGATTTAAACATTCAATCAACTTAAAAAAAGTCTATTACCATTAAATTTCTGTGGACGTTTCGATTTTGTTTCCTAAATTATTGCCTAAAATTTGTAATATAAAAAATTATTTACCGTTTAAGTAGGGACTCGTGTTTTAAATACTCGTGCCATCGTATTACGTACAGTGAACATCAGAAAAGTCCATTCCGAATAGAGAAAATAAACATTTACTGATTCAAATAACAAATGAACTTGCAGCTTTTTTTTACAGTTACTTTGTTTACAGTATGAATATAAACACTTAAGTCTAGAACAAAAGTTCTCAGCCAGGAGGAAATTTCTTAATTTCCGGACGGAGGAATGTGGTTTTATTTAGTTATAAAGCATTTAGTTTTAGTTTATGAATATGAGAAACTACTTTTATTCAAGTTTTGGAATTTACCAACATTTTCTATATTTTTTGTAGTTTAATTTTAAAAAATACTGTAAAAGAAAGTTCTAATCTAAATAAATGTATGCATGAATCATGTATTTTTCAGGTTTGGGAAAGGAAGAAGGAAAGGTCTTCTGTCAGTGGCGAAAGGGGTGCCTGGAGCACGAAAGGTTGAGGAACACTTATCTAGACACAGAACTAAGCGAATTCTGAATTAGGTAACTCTGATTATTATATTTAATGTACAGTAGATTTACTTTAATTTCAATTAATTACTTTTTTATGCTTGTACATGTTACAGGCCCTTTTTTCCTGAAATAAAAAAACTTAGACATTTTATAGGTTTTTGTTTCCCAATTCAGTAACACCGGAAAATGAATTAAATTCTTGCATTCGTTTCTGGCATTAGTTCAAAACTTCGTTGCTTTCTAGTGCACACTGCATATTTATTTGTGTATTATATTTACTGTAGTTTAGCGTAGTTTTAGGCATTTTAGTTTACAAAAGCAGTTCAACATTTCTAGATTTAAACATTCAATCAACTTAAAAAAAGCCTATTACCATTAAATTTCTGGGGACGTTTCGATCTTGTTTCCTAAATTATTGCCTAAAGTTTGTAATATAAAAAATTATTTACCGTTTAAGTAGGGACTCGTGTTTTAAATACTCGTGCCATCGTATTACGTACAGTGAACATCAGAAAAGTCCATTCCGAATAGAGAAAATAAACATTTACTGATTCAAATAACAAATGAACTTGCAGCTTTTTTTTACAGTTACTTTGTTTACAGTATGAATATAAACACTTAAGTCTAGAACAAAAGTTCTCAGCCAGGAGGAAATTTCTTAATTTCCGGACGGAGGAATGTGGTTTTATTTAGTTATAAAGCATTTAGTTTTAGTTTATGAATATGAGAAACTACTTTTATTCAAGTTTTGGAATTTACCAACATTTTCTATATTTTTTGTAGTTTAATTTAAAAAATACGGTAAAAGAAAGTTCTAATCTAAATAAATGTATGCATGAATCATGTATTTTTCAGGTTTGGGAAAGGAAGAAGGAAAGGTCTTCTGTCAGTGGCGAAAGGGGTGCCTGGAGCACGAAAGGTTGAGGAACACTTATCTAGACCACAGAACTAAGCGAATTCTGAATTAGGTAACTCTGATTATTATATTTAATGTACAGTAGATTTACTTTAATTTCAATTAATTACTTTTTTATGCTTCTACATGTTACAGGCCCTTTTTTCCTGAAATAAAAAAACTTAGACATTTTACAGGTTTTGTTTCCCAATTCAGTAACACCGGAAAATGAATTAAATTCTTGCATTCGTTTCTGGCATTAGTTCAAAACTTCGTTGCTTTCTAGTGCACACTGCATATTTATTTGTGTATTATATTTACTGTAGTTTAGCGTAGTTTTAGGCATTTTAGTTTACAAAAGCAGTTCAACATTTCTAGATTTAAACATTCAATCAACTTAAAAAAAGCCTATTACCATTAAATTTCTGGGGACGTTTCGATCTTGTTTCCTAAATTATTGCCTAAAGTTTGTAATATAAAAAATTATTTACCGTTTAAGTAGGGACTCGTGTTTTAAATACTCGTGCCATCGTATTACGTACAGTGAACATCAGAAAAGTCCATTCGGAATAGAGACAATAAACATTTACTGATTCAAATAACAAATGAACTTGCAGCTTTTTTTACAGTTACTTTCTTTACACTCTGAATATAAACACTTAAGTCTAGAACAAAAGTTCTCAGCCAGGAGGAACTTTCTTAATTTCCGGACGGAGGAATGTGGTTTTATTTAGTTATAAAGCATTTAGTTTTAGTTTATGAATATGAAAAACTACTTTTATTCAAGTTTTGGAATTTACCAACATTTTCTATAGTTTTTGTAGTTTAATTTAAAAAATACGGTAAAAGAAAGTTCTAATCTAAATAAATGTATGCATGAATCATGTATTTTTCAAGTTTGGGAAAGGAAGAAGGAAAGGTCTTCTGTCGGTGGTAAAAGGGGTGCCTGTGGCAAGAAAGGTTGAAGAACACTTATCTAGACAGAACTAACTGAATTCTGAATTAGGTAACTCTGATTATTATGTTTAATATACAGTAGATTTACTTTAATTTCAATTAATTATTTTTTTATGCTTCTAGATGTTACAGGCCCATATTTTTTTTATCTTTAATTTTATTTTGAACGATATCCTGAGACTGTTATATCCTAACTGATGTATTCAAATAAAAAAAAATCAGTGAATTAAAGAAACCAAAATGCTGTGAAAATACCACACAGAAAGGTGTTTCAGAAAGGCAAAATTCTGAATAATAAACTTCTCTTCTTTTTGCCCTATCAACCAAGGAAACAATGCGAAATAACTAAAACCAAAAGAAAACAAATATTACTGATTGTAAAGCATGTATCTTTTCATGTAAAGAAAATATACAAATTGTTACAGTTTGTATCTTTTCATGTAAAGAAAATATACAAATTGTTACAGTTTGCTTGGCAACTTACTTCTGTAGCCGACCTATACTGGACAAGAAATTATATTGTAGAGACATTAGGTATAGTTTTGGAAGCAAGGAAGATGAAAAATAGCAAACGCCTTCGCCGGGAATCGAACCACGAACCTCTGGAATACCGGCCCAGTGTGCAGAACCACTACACCACGAAGGACGCTTGGAAAGCGGGAGAAATACCTTGTAATATTAGAGACATTTATGGAGCTAAAGTTATTTCCTTGAAGATATTTAGGTGAAAAAGCATATACGAGAATAATGCTATATCTTCCTTCTTTGCAACTCTTCCTTGATTCTCTGGAAACATGTCCTATCAAAAGTAGCAGTTCATTTCATCTTTAGTCTAAAAAGAGAAAGAAATTTGAAACATGAAACGGTTCAGCTCTTAAATACAAGGAACATGTAAATAAAATGTTGAGGAATTTTTTTCAAAAGAGTTTTTAATTGTTATATAGAAATATATAGGCTAAGTAAGTTTGTTCGCAGTACGGAACATGAAAAATTAAACTATACCTTCCCTACAATTATAATCACTGATTTTCCAGTTTACTGGCTGAAAATGCTAATCACTATTGCCACAAGAACATGCACGGGGAAAGCGATAATTCCTTACAATCTGCCACCCACTTGAAGCACGTCGAGAAAAAGGTCCAAGATTCAGTCAAACAAATCCAGATTGTCACTAATTATCGTCCACTATATTTTAGTTAGGGTTTAGCTGTGTAGATCGTTATTTTTTTTTTCATAACTGTATAAGGTGTTTCTGCCACCTTCTTGGCATGCCTTCGTGGTGTGGTGGTCTGCACGCTGGGCGCGTATTCCAGAGGTCCGCAGTTCGATTTCCGGCGAAGGCGTTGCTAATTTTTCATCTTGCCTGCTTCCAAAAATACCTAATTTCTCTACAGTGGCGCCCGAACTAAAAGGGTTTTGGATGATGGTTCTCTAGACCCAGGATTTGGAGATTGGGCGATTTGGCGTATACTTAGTGATTATTTAATTATTTCACTTTGCAAGTTAATATCTGGCCTAGATTCTAAACAATGTGTTAAAAATATATCAGATGCACATTAACTTTCATGTTGAAGATTGTATTAGTAAAACACATTTTCAATTAAATCTATTGTATTAAATAAATTTTTTCTAAGTTGAAGTTTATATGCAAATCAAATTTATGAGCTTTCCAAATATGAATTTGAACAAAATTTCTCTATTTGCCTCTTATACTGTTTCTGAATGCTTATTTCAGTCTTAAAAACTGCTGAAACAAACTGGCTTACCGGAGCAGGAAACATGAAAAATCGGGAATCGAACTACGAAACTTCCACTTGCTAACTTGATAAGTTAAGAATTTGTGCCACAAAAGCATGCACGAGGGAACATGATTGTCTTTTTGCATTTAAAAAAAGGTCAAACAGCAGCTTACTTATCCATCAAAGAATTTTTGTTAGCATTGCAGATCCCAAGTATTTTTGCTGTAAATGCTACGTAAATTTCTAAAAGAGATTTAAGAAAAAATAAAATTGTTCGCAATATCTTGGATTTCTTTAAATTGGAGAAGAAAAGCATTACATGTGTTAAAAAGAATGGATGACCTCAACAGCTTTTAAATTCATGTTGAAGGCTAGTAGAAATTGCTTGCATTTTGTTGATTAAATTGAAAGCTGTGTGCAGCTAAGTCTCCACAGATTCCAGAATGTTCCCCAATTTAGTATCAAGAAGGCCCCGAACAATCTAACAAAATCTGTTAAAAATGAAAGTTGCAGAAATAGTTTACTAAATTTCAGGTACTCATTAATCAGAGGTTTATCTTGATTCCTTAAAGAGTTGAATTCAGTTATCAGTGCAACACCATCAATAAACCATTATTAATGCAACACACTATTTATATCACAGATATTTTTTCACTATGTTTTCGAAATTATAGTCTAGACAGATATTTCTGAACTGCTGGCGTTTCGAAATTATTCAGAATTTATAAAGCCTTTAGTATAAGATTTTAAGCTTTGGCTTGAGTTTAATTTGCTTCATTCAGTCTTTGTTGGTGGAAATGAAAGCAGTTCGGAGTCGACATTTTGATCTGTAATCTTTCCGGTGAGCACATTAATTACACGATTGCTGATATTCTTCAGCTCTTATTATTGATTCATTATTATACTTTAACATAACCATTATTCACCTGTCGTAATCTATATAGCGCTATTTCAGCCTTTTTTCTGCACTTAATTATTTAATATTTTTTAATATTTAATTAATATTTTTTCTTGAAGGCATTTTTTTTCCTTGACGGCATTTAATATTTTTTGACGGCTTTATTTTAAGTTTCACTTCATTTTATGAAAACCAAACTCGTGCGAAACCTCATGAAACGCTTTTTAAATTTCACGTGATTTATGAAATCATTTACAATAATTTTTATCTAAATATAAGGTGGGTTTCATAAAAATGGAAATACCTGGTTTTGAATAATGTGTGAGATTCTTTTTCATTTATAAAATTAATAATTAGTAAATTCCCGGCGCAGTCAGTGTAAGTTACCGTAGCATAATACAGTAAAATATAACGCAAAATGCTTATTGGTAGTAGTTCAGATAGATCAGGAAAATTATCTGAAACAGTAGGGAAAAGAGAAACCGAACTGAAACGCACTACATACTAACTTTTAACCTGGAGAAAGTTTCTTCCGTTTCTCACTATACTATTGTTTTTATCAGTGATAGAAATTAGTAAATTTTTTCCAAAAATGAAGTATTTGCACTTCATTTTCTAATCATATTCTCTGAAAAAGTTTGAAATAAATAAAGAAATGACTGATAAACGGAACCGTTAAGATTTCAGGAATTTGTTTACCAAAACCATTTTTATATCATTCCTATCCATGAAAAGTTTATGTTTAATCAATAACACGCATTATGCAAGTTTATAGGACTAAAGCATTTTCCTAGGGAAATCATTCACACCTTTTTGGCTAAGATTTCGTTAATATTCAATTTAAAATGTTAGAAGGTCATCTAAAATTTCGTAGAGCAGTCTTAATAAAACTTGTGCGTTATTCCTAATTAAAATAAATCGTAGTTAAGCTTTCATTCATAGCCTGTTTAATTTTCTAATTAACTCATCAACCATAGAGAAAGCTCTGGCAATCTTAATGGTATTATAAAGAATAAAAAACAAATATATTTCTCTTATGTAAGCCCAGCCTCTAAATTAGCAGAATAATAAACTCTTAAAGTAAGAAAAAACATAAACTAAATTAAGATGGTATCGTTGAAATAATTTTAAAAAAGCGTTGGAACATGACCGTAAATTGATGCTCATAAGTTTATTAATATATTAAAAAAATTCGAGAATTTCACGTGACCAGCAGTTTGAAAGTTTAAATTCTAATTAGATTGAATTTTAAATCCCTTTTAAGTGTTGAAGCTGAAAAACTCAAAATAATAGCAATAAAGGAATAAAAGTTAGAACTGTTATAAAATATTTAATTAAGGATTTTAATAACAAGTGGGAACAGTTAAAGAATTTAATTAAAAAATACATCTCTGAATAACGATCAAAGAAAATTTACTGTGCTTTGCGCACAAAAGAAATTTGGAAATAACTTCAAAAAGTGATTTTTTGGAAATAACCT